AAGCCCGGCCCAGTTGGTTGTACTTGTCATCGTTACTAAGCACTATGGCGCTGCTGTGAAGAGAATTGTGAAGAAGAAGACGAATAAGTTCAGACGTCATCAGTCTGATAACTTCATGCGTGTGCCGGTAACTCGGGGGGACGGTTTCATTCGATGAAGTGACTTTATATATCTTCTCTTTGTAGGAGTCCTGGAGGAAGCCTAAGGGTATCGACTCCCGTATCCGTCGTCGTTTCCGTGGCACCACATTGATGCCTAACATCGGTTACGGCTCGGACAAGCGCACCAAGTATCAGCTCTCCAACGGCAAGTACGCCTTCCAGATTAGGGTAGTGTGAGTGGTGGTGTTGAGTGTATTATGAGGTTGTTGTTTTCAGTCTCCTGCTGATATCGAGCTCTTGATGATGCACAACGAGAAGTATGCCGCTGTTCTTGCTAGCAACCTCTCTGGCCGCACTCGCAAGGCTATTATCGAGCGCGCCGATCAGATCGGTGTCCAGGTCCTCAACAGGAGCGCTAGGATGGCCACTGAGGAGACGAACTAAATCACTTTGCGAAGTGATTGTTGTTTCTGGCAAGGAAATGGTGCTGGTCAACCAACGAGTTACCCTGAGTTGAATAAGCTTTGTGTTTTGTGAGACTACAATTACGGTTGAGGGTTGTTTCGGGTGGCTATAGTTATGTGATCGTAGGGGTCGAGATCAGCAGTAGTACGGTTTATCGGTGCTGATGTCGTCTTTCTCACGATCAGGGGAGTTGGAGAACTCTGTGGAGAGGGTTGTTGAAGTACCTCAGAAAGCAGTGGGCAAAGCGATTGGAAAGGGAGGCGATAATATAAAGAGAATAAGACATGAGACAGGAGTTCGAATTGAGGTGATTCTTGGCATACTCTCGATTTTAGACTATCCTTGTTTCCATGCTCCCACGGGGGGAGGGGAAATGTAGGTCTTAACTTCTAGTAGTAGTAGTAGTAGTAGTAGTAGTAGTAGTAGTAGTAGTAGTAGTAGTAGTAGCAGCTAATGAGTGCCTCTTACGATTTGATGATAGCTATATGTGGTTGATGATGTATGAGTGAGGTTATGTTTCAATGGCGTTTACTCGGACTTGTTAGTATCAGTGTGGTCTTGCATTTTAGGTAGATCAGAGCACGAAGGAGCAAGGATTCAGTCGTTTTGTTGTTACGGCAGCTCATGGGGATCAAATTGAGGTGGGATAATCGATAAGCGCTTCGCTCACGATGTTAATATCTACAGAGAGCCGTTGAGCAGTTGAATGAGATCATACAGTCTTGCGAGTCCTGCGATTTCTTCCGCCCTGGTGACACGGAAAAACGTGTGCCACTGCCTGAAGATAGAGTCGGTGATGTTATTGGTCCTCGGGCGTAGGTTGCATATATGCGAGTTGAGGAGTGGTGTATTGGAGTTTCCAGGTGCGTGCTCGATGAGCTGAAGCGGAGAAGTGGATGTCGTATGGATGTGGTTGTGAAGGTGCCTAGCGGCGAGATGAAGTATGCGCGAATTGTGGGGCCTCCTGAAGCGGTAGGTTTTTATATTGTCACGCCCTTTGAGGTGATAGTTGAGATTTCATGGAGGACTCCGTGGTCGTTAGTGAGATTAGGAATAAAGGCTTTTTATGGTGTTTTATTCGTGTGCGAAAATTTGATATATAATCGAATTTCTTGTTTGTTGGGAATTTCGTGTGTTTCATTTTCAGTGCGCAATTGGCGCATTTTTGGTGAACGAAGTTATTAATGGAAATTTCGATGTGGGTGGAGTTATCCGAAAATATTCGGAAAGAACTGGACAACGACTTTTTGACCCAACTCACGAAATGCGAAGAAAAGGCGGTGGAGCCGCAATTTTCCCGGCGGGTAAAGGCAATTTTGGAACTCCCGAAAGATATTCTCAATTTTATGATATGAACGGAGGGAAGGGCTCGGGGGGTCGCTTTGACGGCCCGATGAACCCTCAAGGGCAGTGGAATTCGCCCTATGAAAATCCCGGCAGAAATTGGAAAAGTCCGCTTCCCGCGCCCCCGGGGTACGGCTCCTATGGGGGTGATAGGACAGTTGCTGGAATGATGAATTCAAAGTACGAAAATCGGGGTGATCAAAATCGAATTTTAGTTTTAATTTGTGTTGGAGTTGCAGCTGTAGAAAGCAACGCCCAGTTGATCGATTTGGGATGGTCATTTTCAGTGCTATGGTGAAGTTTGAAATCCCGAGTTTTGCTTACGAAAAGGTCATGGGCGTGGACAACGATGTGCTCCGCAGAATCAGCCGGGAGACTTCAACACAAATTGTGAGACGAGTGGTATAGGAGTTCGACTATGTATATATATTTTTTAACATTTTCAGAGCGAGCTGGCGGGTCGAGGTGAGATTGGCCAAGCTACGTTGCTATTGGAAAGTGCCTCTCAAACGGCAGTAGACGTACGATTGCTTATGCGATGGAGATATAGGGTCTATGCTTTGGTGTGTAGGCCGCGATAAGGGAGCTGGAGGAGGTTATATTCACCTGTGAAAAGCCGATACCGGGTCCTGAGGAGTCTCAGGAGTTCTTACCGATGAATGCAACTAATGCGAGGAAGGTGAGAAAGTGTCGTGGTGTTTTGGTGAAGCGACTATGTGGAGAAAAGGTTTGGATTCTTGAGCTTATGAGAGATAGTGAGGAAATGTATTATAAGAATCAACGCGAATAGAAGGGTAGAAAGGCTGAAAGAATTTTGTAGATTTTCCTCATAGTCTTTTCTTGAAAACGTGTATGTTTTTATGTGTAGATGGGAGGCTATCGTAGTTGTGTGATCGATGATTTAAAGAAAAGGAGTGGCTGCCGTATGGAGATCACCTTGGCTCGGCCCGATGCTGACGCTGATGACAACATGCTCACAATTGTTGGCAACGCTGAACAGGTGGGGAGAGTCTGTTGGTCGACCTTTCCTATTGCATGATCGGGTTGGTCGGTGAGGCTACTGAGAATAATACATTTTTCGATCTGTTGTGGAAATTTTCCGGGTTTTGCAGAGAGGCTTATACAGCGTTGGAGAGAGCTCGATGAGGGCTTTTAAATGGTACCTGTGTTGTCACTCGCCGCGAAATTACGAGGGGTGGGGCTCTTTTCTCGCGCCACTGTGGTTGAGAATTCTCAACATAGGCCTTGTGGTGGTAGGGAATTCATCATGCAGTATTTGTTAATACTCGATGGATGTGAGAGTTTGTGAGTAGAGTGTTTCCCCTCAGGTGAAAGTAGGAATGATGTTAGCCTCGCAAGTGCTGTCGGGCCAGATGGACTATAATGCGATTGAGTCGAAGTTTAAAGAGGCACATGCTTGCGGTAAAGCTGAGGGGATACCGATGGGACCACCGATACAGGATGGTGTAAGTTCATCGAAGAGCGGTAGTTGTAAGGTAGCCATCGTTCATTCAGGTTCGTCGATCGGTGTCTCGTAGAGCTTCTCCTTACTGAGTTGTTGAATATTTCCGATCTCCTGTTGTACGTTTTCTAGTAAACCCGTCCGCGGTGTTCAGTTGACTTAAGCCGCGTTTGGAGGCATATCTTTCAGAGTTGATTTTTAAACTATCGTATGTTGTCTCTTATTAAGGGAAGAACGTGGCTCTCAATTGACGCCTACAACTGCGTTCGTTGTAGGAGTCGATGATGAGGGCTCCTGATTTTCGCTACCTTTCTATTCGTAGATGAGCAGTTGTGCGCCACGCTTTGTGCGGAAACTTGTTCCAGCTAGGAACGTGAGCATGCGTGCAAGGCGTTCATTGGAGTTAAGTGAACTAGACTAGTGGTCTTATCATTTCGTTTCTCTAGTCTAGACTTATTGATATTCAAGATAGTTCGAGTTTGATCCATCGGCTACCCTTACGTTACCTATATGGTCGGCAACGGATCCGATTCCTCCAATAGTTAACGAGACCCGAAGCCTCTCCCTCCCTATGCACCGCAGTTCGCATTCCTGGTCATAGTGTGAAAATTAGGGGATGAACACTGACGGGTAAGAATGGAGTGTTTCTAGGGCGTGGTGTCTGTCGCCTTGACATGATGTGAAGAATATGCACGCATGCACAAGTTGTGCATGCGTGCACGTGAGAGTGTTAGACGAGGATCAAACAGAATTGTATTGCAGATATAGTTTTTAGGAGAGGAAAGAGGAAGCCTGTAAGAATGAGAAAAGTGGAGGGAATCTGGGGTTCTAGAAAAAGGGGCCTTGCTTTGACCATAGCACATTACTGCTGGTGAGGGAGTCTTGTAGGAGTAACGTTTTCAATTAAAGTCGTTTGTAATCGCCTCGCTACTGAACTGAATATTATTGAGAATCATTCGTTATGATTGTCTACTTATTGAATATAGTTTGATCTGTGGCGATAGTATTGAATTAATCTATCATCTCGGGGGAGTTGTAGGAGCATTTATGCTGTTTTCATACGCTTATGCTTTGACGTAGTAATGGGGGGATGTTAACATGAGGATGTCTCTCGTCACGTCTGAGAGGGTCTTTCTGTTCTTATCGAGAGCAATGAAATGTACGGTATGAAAGTATTTTTGTCGGAGCATAGTTGTAGTAACTGATGCTGTACTTTGAATGCTACTAGCCATGGACGAAAACGAAATCGGTTATGTCGGTTGCTCCTTAGCGTTTGAGAACGGCCTGTTACGGATCTCGTGATTGATAATTGGGGTACTCAGTTATGCATCAGTTGCTATGTTATCGTCAGAATTAGTGAAAACACCTTGGGAGGAATGCATGGACGTATATAGTGGGCAGTTTCCTGTGAATTGACGTTTCTGTGTTTTTATTACACGATTGATCGGTGTTGGTCGATTTTCTCAAGACAATTTCTACACAATTGAGGGTAGTGGTAAAATATTCCCCCAAGGATTCCTCGGAATTTTCTCATCGTCACCAACACGTGCGCATATTTCCCAATACCGCTTTTGGTTTCTGGAGTCTGCCCCTTAGAGACATCCCTCATGGTTTCTTCGAGATTTTCACGTTTTTTCGAAGTCCGGGTTTCAGATTATCCACTCCATTATTTGAAAAATATGGATTCCACCAAACCGTTGCCACCGTCACTCTCAGTTCTCTCAAGAAGACGCACTGACATGACAAGCGCCACCTTCACTCCATCATCTGTGAGCTCTGTGCCCTCCGACACGGCATCTCATAGTGCTGTGATCGGTCCTAAGCTACCCCCAGTTACCCCTGAGGTTCAAGTCCTACAACAGTCCTCCCGTGAGCTGGTGCCTGAGGTCGCCTTCTGCAGTGACCGCACTGAGCTGGATAGGAGCGCGGAGATTCTATACGTGTCCGGTTTGGGACCGCTGATCGAGATCGTTCCAAACCATGGCTCGCTCGATTTGGGTTATATTATGACGCGTTTGGGTGGCGCACTGCGAAGGATTCTTGTCCTATCGGGAAGCTTGACACTGGGCTCTATAGGGGTTGAGAGAGCTGTCGCATTACTCCACTTTGACGTGGATCTTACGAGCTCCCTTGCCGTGGAGGGTTTGGCAACAGTAGAGGTTTATCACCCCGATGTTCTTAAGGAAGAGCATAGTATTGAAATATACAAGTCCTTTGAAGCCAAGGATGGATCTTCGGGTTGTTGTGCATTGATTGCTTATCGAGACGCTGTGCGGGTCCTACGTTATGAGAAGAAGAGCCGTGTACTCATGGTTAAGCGAGCAGGCCGGCTTGGCGTTGAGAATTCTGTTACAATCAAGTGTTTTATTGAAGCTCTTCTTGGTGATGTTGGCTGTGTTAAACATGTATTAATGCTCCCTTCAAGGGTCTCCTCCTCCTACAATTCTGACCCTTCTTCAACCCGTGCATTGAGCTATAACATGGCTGCTCCAGAGACTGGGTTCTTGGTCTTTACTGACGACTTGTCGCCTTTAAGAGCCTTGTCGCTAACCCGTAATGGCGACCTCATTGTCAGACCGGGAGTCTCTCTTCGTTTTGAATTATACGACGGCTGTGATTTTGCCCAGCGAGACACTTTGTGTTGAGGCAAATTCATTTGAATTAGACCTCAAAATGGTGCATGTTATAGGATTATGATGAACTGATCATCTCTCCCATTTTGTAGTCTATGTGATTCTGTCTTCAATACTACGTAGTTATCATGGTCGTGCGTCACGTATTATTACACATAATTTTTGGATGCTTTGAGGAATAATATAAGTGAATGAATAATGATTAGGAATAGCACTAGCCGAAGAGTCAGCCCTGCATTTAGTGGTGGGTTGAAGCAGTTGTCATGTTGGCTGCTAGTTTCGCTCGTAATCGCTTAATAGCTTCCACTCTTCGTTATCGAGCGCAGCGGCTTATGCACGACTTTGATTTTCGGCATTAGTCTACTTGGTGTTGCGTTGATGGGAGTAGCCTGATCTCACATAACAATGAATGAAGATTTTCTACACCTTTTCACCAGAAGTTTGACAAGTGAACACACAAGAAGGACGAGGTTCGACTTGAGATTGACAAGGAGCATTCTAGTTTGACACATCCTCAGGATGAACAGTACGAACTTTAAGTTCGACACGTTGTGAGAACATTACATCCAAGAGTGACACTATCAAAAGTAAGATTGACACGGCCATTCGTATCATGAACGGGTTTGACAATATACGTCCAAGTCTGACAAGTGTTTCGAACTCCATACGAGTACAGCTACGACGAGCTCTTACGGATGAGTGACATTGCGAATGCTCCACCTTCTAGTTCAATACTCTCGTTGATTCCCCCGAACAATCAATCAGCGATATGGATATTTCCTCCCGGTGTTCTGTTGGCAACACTTGGCGTTGTTCGCAACGGTAGACGTGGCAAACACTGTGGCTTCCAGCTCCCACTATCAGGCGGTCTTGTTGTGCAGCTTTCGCGGTATCTGGGGTGATGTTGGCAACACTAGCGGCATGATTGACTGCGGATGTGCATCCTCATATCAACAAGAGAATACATGAGATCGTCGAACTAGCCGACTTAGCCGCCCAAAAGTTTCAAGAAGACATGGTGCTCGAAGGGCACTGTTCTTCGCAGTATTTCCCGGTAAGGGTAATGATCTTCAGTTGGCTCTGCCAGGTATGGATAATTCCACCCGATGGTCTTGCTATGTCACTATATACCCCACCACATTTCTTAGCATATCCGGTTTTTCGACTAGTCCACAGTCGCCTCAACGACCCCTTGACGAGTACCATCTTGCGGCTCAGGGAGGTGCTTCGCATGATATAACCTCCAAGGTTCAGAGCCTAACTCTTCGTAGTTATTGAGAAGTCGAAAAGTGGGGGAATATTTTCTCCACATATTCTCAGCATACACATATCAAAATCGCGCCTCGAAATACTAACTTGACTGGGAAGTATATCTATAACATCTCGCCAAATCTAGTGCTATACATCAACACAAAAAGGCTCTCTCACAATGGTATCCCTCCATGTTCAAATAGGGGTTGCACTCCGTTGACACCATTACAGTGAGCTTCGATGGGAGACCAAAGTCCTGAGTGCCGCAAGCATCAACGGACGTCACGACCACCAGATGAGTTTGGCCAACTGGAGGTACATAGCTTAACTATACGCCAACAACGCGATGTCTCTGCGTGTCAACAGTGTATTGCTTTTCACTAAGCAGCCGGGTTCGATCCCAAGAGTAGCGACTTCTTTACTTTATCATGTGAATCACATGGTGACATGTATAACACCCTGTGCCCACTGTCGGACCATTAATATCTGCCATGCTATATAGGCATTATACCCCCCATCCATTGATGGAACGGACGACAAGGTAAAATAGGCGCCGTCGTTGAGTGATATGTGGTGCGTAAATTTACTTCAAAATTGCCTGACTTGATTTTGAATCTCTTACGAGGGGTTGAGCACGACTACAGACTGTCATCGTGTTGAACCCGTCCTGAACTTTGGTGACTGTAATTTACAGTCACCAAAGTCCATATCCCCAGTTCCCATCACTATACTAGATACCATTAACGCAAGTCCTGAATCACACTGCCAGAAGGGGTGTAGTTTTACAAGATGACAAAAGCTTAATAATATTTGCAACACTGATTGTTCTTCTTAGCAGTACGGTAGAACTGGTATCTACATGTGAAGATCTTTCACTGCGCCACAAAATTCCTGCGATATTACGAAGTGTTGCTGAGGTCATTAGACTTCTGCATCAAACTGTCAAGAGTCTCCCCCCTTCGCAAAATGTCGTCCATGCCTGCAAAAAGAAACGTATAAAAACACTCGTACACTAACGTGAGTGCCAAGTCTAACGCCGTATGGATGCACATTGGCTCACGAGAGAAGGGTCGTAGTACTCTTTATGACGACGCCCTTCACATCATCCAGCTCCTTCTGAATCTGGGCGATCTTATCAGCCTGGCTTGGATCCTGGAACTTCTCCATCAACTCGTCACCCTCAGGATAATCAATGCTGAAGTCATCACAGCATCACACATGCAGTCTCACTGGCTCAAGAGAATCTACTAAGTATCCTTTTTAACATTCGTCCACTCAACTACAGGGTGTTTGCTCTCGAACCCCCGCATCAACTGAGGAAGAAACTCCTTGCACCACCAACTATGCCAAAGCCACAGTGAAATAAAAAAATAAAAAACCACGAGAAAAAATTTTTATGTAGTACCTCACTGATGAACGCGAAGGCAACGCGCATAGGATACTCCCCATCTGTGAGGCACGCAGCTCCCAAGCCGTCCGGAGCGACATAACTGAGCAAATTGAATACACAAACGGGCGCTTCTTCGACAACCTACACATGACATTTACCGATGTTCTGTTCGAACTGAACGCTCTGCCTCTGGCCTTTGGTAGTTCGAGAGACGATTGCTCGAGCGTGAAACTTAATGAACTCCTTCACAGTCTTCCGCTGGAAGTATCTATGAGCCGTCCATGTCACTATTGGGATCCATTACTATACAAGAGATTGATATCACAGTGAGCAGGGCTGATGTAAGTACTCAACGTCGAAGTGGACAGGAAAATCATTTGCGTGTGAAAGCAACACGAGCCGCCAGTGAGCTCATCCAGTTCGGACCTAGACCCGTATTACGATATTTTGTGTAGGTCGTAGAATGTCGCTATCTCAGTAGCCTTATCCGGTTCATATTTGTACAGAATGCAGGCTAGAATTTGCATCGTAACGGTAGACAACTATAGTAGTGGAGAATAAAAACACCACTGAGAAATACATCATTCATCATCACCCCGAAGAGCACAGCGGCAAAGGAATCGTGAAGCCCTGGTTATCAAACGCTGTTTTATCAGGAGGACGAACCCCTTCGAATAGATTCCAATAGATTCATGAACTACCGTTCGTTAAAGCTGTCGAGACAGCACATATCATGCGATTCGCATTCAACTGAATTCTGCAAGATTCTCACAATATATCGCGCACGCCTAAAATATGATTATCGTTGCGGTAGCAGGTAGCGATGACATCAATAGGATCGCAAACGATACTGTCAGGAGCCGCAGCCGTCGATGAAGCGTAAGTGAACTCTCTCTTCCTTGAGTAACTCAGTCGTTACCAACGATTCATCAGAACTGCGCGAGAAAATCCGATATTGGTATTTCTTACCCCATACATCTGCAGATTGACTCGATGAAAAACGAATCGGTTGTCCCCTCAGGTTCAGAACGGCCAAGACTGAATCTATCGAGTGTCAAACCATGCCTGACGAACATGAGCCGGTCGTTGGCCTATACCGTACACCATTCGTTCCTTTTGGAAGCCTCGGCCGGACTGGAATCAATAAACGACTCAAAAGCATCAACTCGATAGATCGACGCCTGAGTCTTGAGAAGCAATCAAGAGTGCTTGATAGTGGACTGCCGCCTCTGGGGGCTTACGAGAATTCGGAAGATGATGACGACAATGAGTCAAATGAAACACCGATTGAACCTACTAGCGACGAGCACAACGCTGCTGCTGCAAAGTGGATAGCTCATGTTAGGGAAGTACAGCAACAGGAAAGCGCGAGTATGAATTCACGAGGGAGTTCGCGAAATAACTTTGGGAGTTCACCGAATCTCATACAAGAGGGGCCACTGGAAAGTGTTGAAGCCGATGATTTGAGCGGTCCGAACTTGTTAGTGGATAAACGCGACGACGAGGTTGAGAAAACGCAGGTTGTCGCGTCAGAGGACCACGATGTGTTCACGAAGATTGTCGACTTCTTTCGGCGAGATAGCAGTAACCCAGATGAACGAGAGAAGCCTTCGGCATCTTCCGAGCTACCTCCTAGTAGTAGTGACAAGCATGAAAACTCTTTTGCTGTGGTGGATAGTGATACGAACGTCAATTCACAAGACGACGACGGCGACGCTGAATCTAGTGAGAGCGGACACACGAGGTCAATTCGTGATGAGACGTTGTGGAGCATCTCCGAGAGTTCTGAGAGTTTTGTCAGTGTATCGAGAGGCGAGCTGCAGTCAATGCAAGT